ACCAGGACCAAACCCAGGGCCCCGGCAGTGAAAGCACCGAGTCCTAACCATGGACCGCGAGGGAACTCCCCCCTGTGAAATTCTTAGTTCTACCAAAATTTTGTCGAATAAAAATCCATAGTTGACTTAATAATCCAGAATTGACTCTTTCATGACTTCCTGTAATTATCATCCTATTCAACGTCCAGTATGTGCTAGTCTGGAGATTACGCCTACTTTTGGATGGAACTCTTGCCTGAGCATTTTTTACTTGCCTTTTTACAAAATGGGTCCACCCACCATGGGGCCTCTGCCCCCTCGATGCAGTGGTTCTCGGTTCTGCCACGTCCCCAGGCCACGCTGTTTTGAGCTGTGCCAGCTGGACCAACGAGAGCAGGCCCGCCTTCCAATCCGGTGGGTTCTTGGGGCCGCCCAGCTTATTGGCCATGATCTTGGAGTGGCATTTAATAAACAGTAATGGTAATACTTGCTAAATCTACCTGGAGCGGACCTGAGTTATAGGGAACAATTTCAGTTTTTCTCAAACAGAAGCAGATTGCATTTGCGAGCAAAATACAATCAATTACGAAGGGGTTTTGTGTGTTTTTTTTGATTTCATAAACTAAAGCTCATTTTTGTAGAAGTACATCTAGTACACTGCTAAATAAATACTGTGAGAAAAAAGGATCATTGTGTATGATAATACTATGAACAGAAAGGTTGAATTTATAGCTTTTAAACATTCTTAAAAATTTTGTTATGTGTTTTCAGTCCAAATCCTGCCTTTTCATCCATAGTTTCCTTGTAGGTTTCAGTCTTGAGCCAGTCTGAAACTTGACTAGGTGGCAAGTCAAGTGTAAGAACTATTGTGTATAATTCACCAGTTTGCAATTAAAAACCTGGGGCTAATGCCCAATATGAACATTCACGCACTTCCTTTTACTCTTTTAACCAATGACCACATGTAGCTTTTTACGTGTCTTACTGTAATTTGCTACTGACAATACCTTATATAAAACAGCCAATATCAGAAATATTCCCTGTGTGATTAATTTGTTATGACTGCCTTAAAATAGTTTTACATTTTTTCTTTAGATTATATAGAGGAGTCACATGATATGTTCAGAGAGACTTAGGGGAAAATCTTTTAGTCTACCAGGTGTTATGGGATCCCCCCAGCCAAACCAGACCTTGACCCCAACTACTTCTAAGCAAAGGGAGACCACAGTTGAAATGCAGAGAGAAGCAAGATGGTTAGTGTGTCCACAGGCCTGGGTCCAAGAACATTTTCAAGAGTCCTCATGACTACATGCAGTTTTTGCCTCCCGAACTTCCCTGGGTGTAAGATGAAACTGGATAGGAAAATTCAACATTTGGTGCATAACTGTGCTAAGTGGCTGAGGTACTGAAACTCGGCAAGACATACGTGGAAATCCAAATTTATAGGGAACTCAGACTCTTAACTCTTAAAATGGTGACTCCAACTGTCGTAAATCCTGCCCCATACTTTGGATGTCATCATTTAAAGATCATATTACTTCAGGAATCAATAGAATCTGTAAATTAGTGTATTAGCCGTCTGTCCTCACTCGAGTATCAAATAGTAATTCTGTCAAAGGAAGTGTAGCTTTTAAAACGATACTCATTTGGAATAGTGGTGGTTTCTATCATAGCCATCGTCAGTAAGCAGAGAGATCTCGCTTCGACTAGACAGTAAACACAAAGAAGAGATTCAAGCATACAATTAAAGAGTTTTAACCTGTTTTTAAATATAAGTGCAAAGTTGTGGATCATTACACGGCTGTAATCCACCTGCCATTATATTTCTAAAGTGGGAGAAAAAAAAAGGTTTCAGAGTAAAAATTTGAGATTAATCAACCTTGTATCTTTTCTTCATGTCTCAGGATGTAAAGCTCCCCTCCTTTTTTTTTTTTTTTTTTAAAGGAATTGGTTCGTTGCGTTGTGGCCCCTTAGTGCACACCGACAACCAGCTAAGAAACTTGCATGAAAGAAAGCGTGCGAGGAGCAGGGAGGGGCAGAGACCAGTCACCTTGGCCTCTGCTGCTGGCCTCCACCTAATAAAACTGATTCCTTTGTAAGGGACGCATAGCTGGGCCAGTTCATGTTCCTTGATCTGGAAGGAGCGCTCCAAAATAACAACAACCGTCTGGCAGTAGAAAGTGGAACACGAAGCATCGACAGCTTCTGCATCGGGAGAGCATCTCAGAAATCAAAATGCTACTCTGACCCCACAGGCAGTCTCTCGGCTCCACAGAGACCTCCAGAGACTTAGTTTTAGGGGTTGCAGCAGATGCCAGAAACAGCGACTGCATCTCTCTCCTAAATCCTACCTCCAGGGCCCTGATAAAATGCTATCCTGGCCCCCTAACCAAAACCCCTTCCCCCCTCACCAGCCAAACGCTGCCTAACGGTCTGTACCCCTCTTGTAGCGCTTATCGTTCTCCACTTTGTATGCTGGGGGTTTGTGCACGTGTCTCGTCTAGTGAGCCCGACCTTAAACTCCTTCCACACGGAGGATGCTGAGTAAATATCGATTGATTGAGCCAGGGCAGTGTTCTCTAGGTAGCCTGCTCCCTGAGCTAGCGTGGGCCCTGCGGGGAGAAGACTGGCGTGCCGGACCCGGGCAGGGCAGACTCCACACATGTTTCCTTTATGTGGGGATAAAAGACCTCGAAATCAATACTAGTCCTTTTGAATGAATTCTTACATAGTGTTTTGTTGATTCTGAGAAAAATCTATCAGGCGCTAGTTGGGTGTTTGGCACTCTGAAGGCAAAAGACAGTACACATTCTGATGAGAAACACAAACTCCCGACTAAATAAATGCAGTGTGAAAAGTGCCAGAAACGTAGTTCGTAGAAAATACTCTGCATATGTGAAGAAAGAAGTGGCTGGTTCTGCCTGGTGGCTAGTTTAGGTCAGAGTCTCTCAAACCGGGTCCAAGTCCTACAAGATGGCTGAATTTTAAACACCTGCTTGGGGGTACCAGAATCCAGCAGAGATACCTGAACGAGAGAAGATGGTATGGTATCTTTCCCTTTTCTCTCTTGCAAATTTAAGGGCTACTGTACCCCCCAGCCCGGGTCCTCAAATAGCTGTGAGTTGCTGTTTCTATAAAGTAGACTGCGGTCCTTTTTTTTTTTTTGTTAATGGAGTGCTTAGCAAACATCTGTGGTCAGTTCATTTAGCATAAAAGGTCTAAAGTCAGCCGTAGGATGTGCAAAATCAAATTCTGATTATAAATGAAACGTCATCTTCGATTTTGATGGTAGAATTCTCTCAATCCTAACATTGCTACATAGAATCATTCAGCCAACGAGCATTGAGTGCCGAGTGTACAGCTTCTGTCCCAGGAGTTGGGGGCACTGCAGCCTCTGCAGACCTTCACCAGCACTGAGGTGCGAAAGTCAGGAAACCATCCGGCAGCACTGTGTTCATAGTGATATTTACCAAGCATTCAGAGACCAAAAGCCAAATGGCAAAGTAGAGCGGAGAAGTGAGATGACTTTCTGGAAAATCCAGTTGAGAATTCCCTTTGGGAGCAACAGGGCCCCAAGTCGTCCCCACGTCATCTGATTTCATTTAAGCCCTTCTCTGAGCCCTTTACTCTGACCGCAGCACAAACAAAAATAATTCCTGCTCCCCAGGAGAAAAACTAGTCCCAACTCCTCACATTTCTAACATGACTTAGAAAATCTAAAGTAGTATCAGCTTTGCAAAGTTTTAAACATGGTATCTAAGAAAAAGCTTTTATGATACATCCTAAGGGAAGATTCCTTCTGACTTTTTTTTCTAACAAAAGTTTACCAACTGCACTTCTTCACCTTAAAGTTATTATTTTAAAGTCGTCGTGTTATAATCAACAGTAAATGACTTAGTAGTTGAGATAATGACTGATGAACTTTGATCTATTTAACAAGAATTTACTGAGTGCCTACAATGTGCCAGGCCCTAGAGATAACAAAGACTGAGTTCCAGGCAACAGGAAGGGCCGTGATCGAATCAGTAATTATAATACGGTCTAGTAAACACAGTCATATAAGTATGTCAAATAAATAGCAGTGACAAAGCATTCATTGCTGCCTCCTCGGGAAAGAAACAGTTAGGCAAGGCTTTGAAAAGGCAATGGTGTGAGCTGGGTTGAAAGATGGGAAGGTGGGTTGTAAACATCCATGGCATGTACATAGAGAATGTATTATCAGTGTCTGAGCTTATGTGGTAGAGTCCAAGTTGAAAGGGCCCTTATCGGCCTTCTGATCCAGTATCCCAGTCAGGAAACCCCCAGCAGGGAAACACTGTGATTGGCACACTGGTTTTCCATTGGTGCTCTGGGATAGAGCTTCAGATTTTCCTCCCAAAAGCAGGGATCAGGGCACCTGCTCAGCATTGTTGTTGATGTATTAGTTGACCTAAGTTTTCACTGGAGGAAAAAAAAAAAAAAAGCTCCACAGCTTAAAACCACTGGCCTAGTGCCAAGAGCATGGGACGTAGAGGGTAGCCTCGTGTTTGTGTCCTTAGGCAACTGAGGTCAAATTATTTAACACAGGAGAAAGTGATCTGTAAATAGTAAGGCACTGAGTACGTCTAAATTAGTTTTAAGTCATTTTTGTTGTGATCTCTTTGGGCCTGTGTTCCCTCCTTTACAAAATGAAGACGTTTCACCCAAGAGTCTCAAGTCCCCTGCGTAGCTCTAGAATTAAATGCTTTGGGAATTATCCAGCTTTCTCTTAACTTTCTCTAAGGCCGAGAATGCTTTTCCAGCGTGCTCCTTTCCACTGCTTTTGACGAGACTTAATATTGGAATTAGAGCATCTCATTTGGTGAACGGTCACTAGTAATTGGTTTTGTAAGTCGCGAACACTATCACACAAAGCCGAGGCTGTGTGCTTTGCAGAGTATATGGCCATTGCAAGAGCTAGTGATGTTTTTTTGTTGCACGTATGCCCAAAGTTGGTTGCTTCAAATCTTGCTTTTAATGACATATTTATGTTCTTTTGGTAGCCAGAAGTGCAACTTGCTGAAGGCTTCGATGTGTTTATGCCTAAATCTCAGCTGGACTCTATACTGTCAAACTACACTCGCTCAGGAAGCCTTCTGTTTAGAAAACTGGTGTGTGCATTTTTTGATGACAAGACTTTGGCTAACTCCTTACCCAATGGGAAGAGGAAAAGAGGACTCAATGACAACCGGAAAGGACTAGACCAAAATATTGTGGGTGCAATAAAAGGTTGGTCTGCATCATTTCATTTTACGGGGTCTTTGTTAAGCTTTGCCTTCATTCCATAAAGATGCAGCTTAAAGTGTAGTAAATGAACTAGAGGCGAATTTAACTTGCCGCTGGCCATCTGCCCGCCGGCCTGGCTTTTGGGTGTGAGCTCCCTAACTCTCCGCCCCAAATACCACTAGAATTTGCTATTTCAAGGTGATGTTAATTTGTTAAAATCAGAATTTAAGAGCCAGTCTGATGTGCTGCAGAACTGAAAAGTTGTTCCTTAACTAACTTTGAAAATGAAAGTATTTTTTCCTTTCAGTCATTTCTAAGAACTTCATCAAAACAGGATTTCTACTTAGATTTTTAGTTGTAAGTAAGAATAAAGCTGTGATGCTCTTTTGAAAAGGAGGTAGAAGAGTTCTCTCCAAAGTTCAGAAGTTGCTTTACTAGGTCACTGCTTCTAAATATACTTTAAATGGAAGTGATCCCACTGTGAAGCCAGACCCTACTCTGCTCCTTCTGGTTTTGTGACATGGAGTCGTGCCAGTTACACGCAAACAAGTCCCTGGGTCTCCCCATTAACACGTGTGAAGGCGTGTCTGAATCCCACTGCGTTACGATAGCCACGCAGGCGCACGTATGTGTAGGTCCTCATTTACAACCAGGTCCACATCCTAGATGTACTGCATATTTTAAATTTAATTTTCCTTCTCATTTATTTCTTACTTTTAAAATGTCCTTGGGACTTCCCTGGTGGTCCAGTTGGTAAGACTCTGCGCTCCCAACGCAGGGGGCTCAGGTTCGATCCCTGGTCAGGGAACTAGATCCCACATAATGCAACTAAAAAAAAAAAAAGATCCTGCATGCCGCAACTAAGACCCGGCACACAGCAAAAATAAATAAATAAATATTTAAAAAGATAAATAAATAAAATAAAATGCCCTTACTTAGGACTCTGATAAATGTAATTTTAGGTAACAGAAGTATTTAGATGTGACTTTCAGAAAGAATGTAAATGAATTTGCAAATATAAATACAACTGCCATGAAAATGAAATTTCAGATCAGGCCTCAGTTACACCAGAATCACCGCTCGGGATGTCTCTCCCCGCCCGGGGTTGCCGTGTTGTCTGGCTGTGGACTGACACACAGAGCGCTGCCGCCCAACCCCTGGTCCCCCCACCGTGCAAAATGAGTGAACGAATTCAACAGCACTTAGAGGGTACTTGGAATCCCACAATTAACTTTGCAAAATAATACGATTTTTAAATGGAGTTAGCAAGTACCAGGCAGCCTTTGTTCACGGCCAGAAGGACATGAGCCTTCATTAACAGAAAACTTCTCATCCTCCAACAGGGTTTTTTCACTTAAAGTGACAGCTGAGTTGTATTAAGTAAGCTACAGAGATATCACAGAGATATCTGTGCCATTTCTGAAAAGAATGATTCAGCCTGAAGCGACACTAAAAACAAGATTACAGAATTTGACAAAGAGTCAATGATGTAACTAGGACTTGCTGAAGTGAAGAAGGGTCCCATTTGGATTTAATATGTGTGGCTGGGATTTCTGGCAACATGAAGGGCAAGGCTGCCGATGCTTTTCATGCTGAAGCTTTTAAACATGCTGAAATGTAGCCAGGGATTGTTTTCATTTTCTTTTTTTCCAGGGCAGGATATTAACAGTATGAAAGGGTTTGGAAATTAGGGAATCATGAATGACTGTGTTCCATCTTAATGACAGAAGAGTTACCCTAATCATAGATGATAATGAAATATATCATTACAAGCAGACTGATACGGGTTTTATGCTACCAGTTTCAATCTAGACTGGACATAGTACAGTAGTTTGAAAAAGTATATGAGAAACAGAAATAGAAAACATCCCTTGATCATCTTCACAGCCCTCCTCTTTAGCTAGAAATAAAAATGGCAACGAGGGCTCTTCTGCCCCTAATGCATAATAAAGCAGGTTATTCAAACCAAAGAACTTACACTTTTCATACTCTTCTTTTATTGTTGAATTAAACCTGGCATTAAAAAATTCTTTTAGAACAACAAAATAACTTTAAAACAGACAGAAATCCACCCATAAGGCACCAACAACCTAAGGCCACAGATATTGTATCTTCACTTGTTTACCTGCCGTGTTGATTCATAGAAGTATTTCAATTTTGACTTTTTTTCCTTGATTACAAAAATAACACATGCTTGTAAAAAACCCAAACCATAAAAAAGCATAGACAGCTGAAAGGCCTCCATCATCCCACGCTTCAGAGGGTACCGCGTACGTTCCTACAATCCTCATTCAGAGTATGAATATGGCGTCAGGTGTGTCTCTCTTACGAAGACACCCTGTTCATACTGATCGGCCAACGTTCCTACCCGATTTATTCTGACAATTTCTTACAAGCGCCTCAAGAAGAAGCTTTGTCTTCCTCTTTTTTATTACCTGTTGCACTTCACTGAGAGCTCTACACACAGCCAGGTTTCCATAAATACACGTTGGGTGAGTGAACGGACATAGGTTTTTATTTTTCCTCTTGACTTTGCCCTTAATTTATTGACATAATGGGCCGAGTACTAAACATCCATCCGCAGGTCTTCTCACACCTAATTTGGAAGGATTGATGTCAAAATGTTGCTGTAAATTTCTACCACTTAATAAAGTGCCGATGAAACAAACAAACAAAAAAAATGGAAACCAAAACTGAATATAAATTTGAATACAATTCTCTTAATATTTTTTTTCTTTTCATGCCGTACTTTGACTCGCTAAACGTTTATTAACCCACACACTACACTATAAAGCGATTTTGGGAAGTAGCTATTCATTGAAGGTCTTTTTCTTTTCTTTAACAAGAGAAAAATCACACAAAATTTAATACCATGTATACATGGGAGAGACCCAGGAAATCTGAGCAACTCCTAATTGACGGTCTTATTGAATAATTATACCCAGTTTTTCATGCTATTATTAGAGTTAAAAAAAGAAATTTATTTCCCTAACCAAGTCTTTCAAATCTGAGTAATCTGGCAAAGCGATAAAATTGTTTCTTTCTACATAACAATGGCAAGAAGACTACTCATGTTACTACTGCTGTCTACCACATATTTTGAAAAGATTTTGCAAATACTAAATACTCAGTGTTTCTTCCTCCATCCTTTATGGGACAGTGCACCAATACTGTATTAATTTGAAAAGTTCTACAACCTAGGAATATACATAGACTGGTTGATTTTAGGAAACCTTCAGTAAAAACAACAGTGGAGGCTGGATTTTGTTTCAAACAAAGGGATGAAGTTGGTTAAGACAAGAATGGGAAACAAGATAAGGAAAACCTGTAAAATGCTCATGAACAGGAACAGAAATGGACTTAAAAAGCAGAGTTTATCGTGGGATTGTTAACATATCTCTTCGTAGTTATAATCAATATTCCCCATAGTACAGTATCTTGAAAAATATGTACAAGCCTCTTTGTAGAGATCATGCTTTTCTTTTCTCAGTCTCATCTGTTTTATGGTAGGTACCACTTATTGGCAATTCACTAAAAATTCATTTATAGGTATGACCCAAGGTGTTGATGATGAAAGGATCCTTAATTAGAAACTTTCACCTGAGCACTTTGAATTTAACTCTGGGAAGAAGCAACTTAGGATCTTATTAAGTGGAGTCTTAGGTTTTGGGGCTAAGGATAGATCAGTATCCTAGATTTAATCTGGAAATGATTTTACAGCCAGGATGCAGATGGAGGTCAGGACCCAGGTGTCCTCTCCTCCCTTTATGCTTTACCTGACAAAGACCGCCTAGTTCTTGGTGTCCTATGCCCAGGAGACCACACAGGGTGACCTAGTGAGAGTTGTCCGATATTGACGTAATCACTGCACCTCTGAATGCTCTTCAGAAAGTGTAGCTGCAGTGAAGCCATTTTTAGAACCCGGGTTATGGTTTTTAATTCAGCTTCATAGTGATTAACGGAGAAAGTTTTATTACTATCAAACTACACTAGGTTTTTGAATCCTCTTGCATTCAAAGGAAACGACGTCTCCTTATCGAGTGCAAGAACCACCCTACTGCCCTTCGTTCACTCCATGTAGCACAAACTGCACTGCTGCTGTCGGGGAGCATCAGTGCTGCTGACCGGCCGGGATGGCCTGGGGGGATCAGAGCATCCCTGGGCGGGAGCCCTCCTTGGGTGGCGGTGCTCCAGACACTCGACTATGCTTCTGACACTTCATGTGACCTCACCCTTTCCTAGGCTCTGCTGAACAGACCACCAAAACCTCTCCTCCTATTCCAGCAACTCTAGAGACACGTAGGGTCTATATTTGCCATTTTGGAACTCCTTTATTTTCCATTTTTATTGTATATCATCACTCATTTCCTTGGATTTATTCCCAAAAAGTGAATAGCTGTTTTCTGTCTGATCTCAAATAGACTTTAATATGTTTGGGAGTGGAATCTACATCTGATTTCTTATTTATTGATAGTAACTTCTGTGTGTTCTGAGAACTCCCTGTAAGGACAAGGCTGGAACATGAGCTTGGACTCGAATACCCCTACGATGTTGATGATTTTAGTTCCATTTATGGGAGAGGAAACTGAGGCTCTGAGAAATTAAGTAAACTTAAAGGAAACAACTAGTAAGTGGGAGCGCCAAGATTTAACCCCAGGCCTCTCTCACTCCAGAGCCATTACTTCATACCTTCTACGAGGACCATATGAAAAGAAAGAAAGGGGTCTCAGCTTTAAATTTCTATCTTAAAATTTAGCACTTTGGATTCTTTATAAATTCCACTGGGAAGGTGGCCATACTAATGATCTTAAATGACCGCTCAGTTGTTGTGTTGTATTCAGAATGAATTTCTAGGTAAAGCTTAGCTGTCCTCCAGTTTATTTATTAGCTTCAAGGGCAGGTCTTCCTTTGAAGACAGTGAGAGTCAGTCCCGTCGTAGTAGAGGGAAAAATAGAAGTGTGATCGCTTCCCTAGGGAAAGAGACTCTTCCGGTGCACAGGACC